AATTTTTATAAAATGCTGCTGCCTTAAAACATAGTAATGAGTTGCTGGCCACTGTAAAACATCCTCCTTTTCTCTCATAGGGAGAATAAGTATAAAGAAAAAGGAGAAAGAAGTGCCTGGACAGACCAAATATAAATAAGGATTTGCAGAAAGAACTTTTAAGTTTCCTGACATTAGAAATCTGTTCTGACTTGCTTAGTAATGAAGCTCACACATAAGGAAACTACCAGCAGCTTCGACCACTATTTTATTTCCATGCTGAGTTCTTATAGGGAGGGGAGGAAAAAAAATCCTTGCATATCAATAACTTCTATTTATTCCAGCATAAACTTTCACCAATAATGAAAGGGGCAGTTCTGCCTTCCCAAACTCAGTTCCCTCGCTCTCGACTCCAGTGGCCCCTGGAAAAAACAGCAACGGATTTGTAGCCCAACTAGTTTTTCATTACTGCCTCAGTATACAACCATTAGCACTGAAGGGAGGATGAAAGGTGTGGGACTGACATCCTCAGCACATATCACCTGCCTGGGCTGTCAGACAGCAGTGCCAGTGGGCCCTCAGCACTGCTGGGGCTGTCAGCCAGCCCAGAGTCCTGTTTCCACTGTGAGACAAGGAGCACCACTGCCTGTGTTGTCTCCAGACCCTTTTCTCCTCCATGACTCCCAGGACAGACAGCACCACACTAAATGTGACCCAGTTGAACTATTCTAGTTCCTACAATTCAGCCTAACCATAATTTTTGACCACTGGCTAAAACAATTGTCTTGGTCTCTTGAAAGGGGAGCAAGTCCATTCTCCATTAAGTCAAGAACTGCAGTTTAGCAACAATCTGAAGGCTCTTGAATAACAGAATCCAGCATCTGCATGGTTCTTTACAATCTCACTGTAATATCTTGTAATATCCAGGGGTCTTAGTGGGCCATATGCATGCTGGTTTCCTCACAGCACATGGGCTAGGTATGCATGCATAACTGCTACTGCTTTCCAGCTCATCAGAAGCTGCAATTAAATAAAATCTCTCAAAACCAGAAAATATATGGCATGAGTCAATGAATTTCTCAGATATGAAGTGATTTAGGCACAGTAAACACTTTTGCTGCATTACTCCAGGCTCCTCAGAGGCATTTTATCTCACTTCATCTCAATTAACCTCCCAAGAAAACAATTCACATCTGAACAAGACAGAGGCGAAAAAGACATTACTGACAATACACAAAAGCCTCCTCTGATGTCATAATGCTGCATTAATTGAGTCATAGGCAGATTTCCTGGAATTCAGGTTTGAAGCAGGAAAGCAGGAGATACTGACAGAAGAGCAGCTATGTGCTGAATCACAGAAGTTATTTCATATGTCAGTGAAGTTATTACTGCTAAAAGTTAAGATTTCCCAACTGCACTGTAACACATTATTCAGCTTCAAAACGTTCCCCATCTCTCAATTTTGCACATACTGTAAATGAATACTACAGTAATTCTAACTCTCTCACAGTATCTTTTATGTCACAATATGGTTTTCTACCTCCTTACTTCCAGACAAGACAACTTACTGTATACTCCTACCTGCTGCTACCTGTTCTGACACTGTTGTTCCAGCACCACCTTTTCATAGCAGCACTGACAGAAATAACCATCAGTATTTGCTACATTAAATTAAGACACTTTTTTCATTATGCTACAGTGCATTCCACACAAGAAATGTATATCAAATCCTACCTCCCACCCCTCTCCACAAGTTGCAGTCCCCATCAGAGCTGTGTGGGCCCCTCCAATCCCACACTCTAATGCTATCTGGAAACCTTCAATTGTTTAAACATTTCTATACCCTCTGCGCTTTTCAATCCTCTTCTGCATTTTAACATTCTATCTGAAGAAAAGATTGATGTGGTGAGGAGAATTGTGAAGAGGTTACTGAAATCATGAATGCTCTGGAAGTATCCAACCAGGACAGTTGTATTAGTAGCCTTGGCACACCCTTTCCCCTCCAGCTCTAGAGTTCCTCTCTGTGCTGCTCCCTCCTTTACAGGAACCATCTACTGAGATCCAAGTAATCCCACTCCTATTTGCTAGTGCTGCTCTATCAACCTTCTCATATATCCTCCCAATTCCCTATCAGCCTTCCTCCTGTTGCCAGTCTGGTCTCTCACATTCCAAGAAAGGCTCTGCCACTTCTTTCCAGTAGTGCACTCTCTCTAAGCACTACACCAGGAGTTCAAGGATTGGCAGTACCAACCAGGGGGACTAGACATGGGCTAATGTTTCCACTGCCAACACTTGCTACTGGTAACTTCCAGCCTACACCAGGTCACCGAGAGAGCTCTAACACAGCATACAATACAGTCTAGGCAGAAATATAACTCTCATTTTATTAGAAATAACTCATTGAGTCCTAGAAAGAAGAAATATAAAGGATATTGGAAAGAAAAACTTGTCTGCATGGGTTTTGACAAGAGTCCCCTCAAACAAATAAAAGTAACTCCACATGACCTGTGTCATACAGCTTACACAAATCTCAGGGGAACCTTTTTCACTTCTGACAAGCAATCTCCCACCCTTTGAAACTGTCCACAGTTGGTGACAATTTATTCCTTGGTCTCGATGTAAATCAAGTATAAATGGTTTCCCTCACACCTTAGGGTCACATGGTTTCCAAGTTTTAATGTTAATGATGTCCCAGCAGACTACAAAAGCAAAAGTGGGAGTTGCATTAACTCATAAATGGAGAATACAACCAACAGTGGAAAAGATGTTCTTACTACATCAAATTTTTCAGTGTAAAATTATACTGGAATGTGTAACCATAGCTGATTTTTAAACAAGTTAAAAAACACAGTTTTATAGCATCATAATAAAGAAGTTGAATTCAGATAATGCAGACTTTTGTCTAACTGTCAACGGATGAAATTCACTGTACTGGCACTTGGTAAAGGCCACTTACATTGGATTTCATTGAGCATCAGCTGTACCTTTGAAGATTTTAACCTTGGGAAAAAATTCCTTTTAAAGCACCTGCACAACCCATTGGTATGATGGACACAATTCCCACCCCCATTACCAACATTCATTGGTTTTGTCACTGTGTTTCTGTGAGGGACTAGAGACAGTTTCATCTAGGTAGCTGTGCAATAACATGAGGAACAAATTCCTGCTCTTCCAAGAGCACCCAGTTAATACTGCTCAGTTAACCTGTATCTCCCCAAGATATTATCAGTTTTCATGCACAGAGGATTTAATTAGTCCCCTGCTCTAAAAGCCAGCCCCGTGTGTCACTTCAAAGACCCATCTATTACAGAACGGAATGACAGGAAGAATTACGAGTTCTCGTTATGAAGCCCGTTGTGAGCAATTGAATTATCGAACTCTTAGCCAGTATGAACTTTCAACTGCTTCTCGTTGCTTTGAGAGCCCAAAGCGCCATCTCCTGCTGAGCGTCTGGAACCACAAATACCGATTTCGGCAGCCCGTGAACTGCTGCAGGGACAGCGCTTCACACACTCAAATCCGTCGGGTTGGGTACCAACAAACACGTTTTCTCACTGAACGGCTCGGTCTGGCACAGCTGCCAGAACCGCTGCCCTTCGAGAGGAGCAGTCACATGAACAGCTGGAGCACAGCTGCCCAGCACCAGAACAGGACACAGAGCATATTTTGCCCAGGTTTCAGCAAGCAGCCAAGTGGCACTTTGTGCATTTTTGCAGCAGGTTCCATATTTTGTATTGAAATCTTACCTCAAGCCTATTTTCACAGTTTCCAGCAGGAAAACACCAGGTGACACCCAGTGGGCCCGAAACTGAAGATAAACAGACCTTGATAAAATTACTTCATAGACCTCGCACACACACAATTTTTTTTTTTTTTTAAATCACTCTTTTTATTAATGTAAAACTAAACAAAGAAGACAAAACGGACAAGATGAGACTGGGTTTAGGCCTTGAACCGGGTCCAGAAGGCAGGAAACTGAGTGTAAGAATTAGTGACATTCATGGCTCACCAAAAGCAAACAAACAAACAAACAAAAAACCAAAATATTTTCTTACAATAATAATGAGACAAGTGTGATGACACCATGCTCAACAGTGACATTCCTTTCATCACCAGTGAGCTTGCTGCCAATTCAAACATTGGGTCCTCTGGTTCAAGTCACTTCTGCAATAAAAGAAGTAATTTTGAAGGGCACTTTCATGCTACAGAATGTTTATGGCGTTTACCCTCAGAAAAAATAAAAACCCCAAAAAGTGTAACCTGCAAATGACATAAAAAAATCAATTTTCGCACTATTGTTCCTTCATTTCTGTTTTAAAATGGAGAGTTAAAGCTGACATTCTGATCCTGGGATGAGCACCGTGCTCATCCTATGTGTTTTTAAGCTTTTCTGGCAAAGCTTAAAAAGTTGTGGAGCGCAATCATCCCAAAACAAGAACTTCAATTTCTGTACTGTTAGAACCAAACACCATAACAAAGATATGGAGTATTAAAGTAATTACTTTTCAGTGTAACTCCAGCGAGCTTTGTAGGGCATCACAGGAGAAATCCAACAGGAGAATAATTGCTTTAACACTCCATATCTTTGTTATGGTGTTTGGTTCTAACAGTACAGAAACTGAAGTCCACGAGCGGCAAAACGAAGAAGAAAATACCTAATTTTCCTTGGAATGATGGGCAAACTGAAGGTGAAAAAGCCTTAATCTTGTGAGCCCCAGCTTGCTGTGGGACAGGCTGGTTAGCATGTGCATTTTTGAAATGGGTTTTAAAGAAACCGCTTTTGCTGCGAGCAGAATTTATGCTTTCATAAAGGTCCTAAAACCTGGCGAGAGTTTTAAGAAATTCACACGATTTCCCCTTGAAGGTAAAAGGAATTCACGTTGCCCCCTCCGCCCATCACCGAAGCAGCAAATCTCTAATAAAAGGGTGCGCGGGAGGAAATGCAGGTATTTTGTGATAGTCCCTATACACGTCCCCTGACATGAAACCGTGGCTGACAGCCCGCCCTCAGCGCGGAGACCGCGCCCTCAGCGCTCCCGCTCCAGACCCCGAGCAATGGCGGCGGCTGTGGCGATGGCGCCCGGCAGCGGCGGTGCCGCCGACTTCTCGGACCTGCGGGAGATCAAGAAGCAGCTGCTGAGCGTGGCGGAGCGGAGCCGCGAGCGGGGCCTGCAGCACAGCGGGAAATGGTGAGCGGGGCCGGGCACGGCGGGGAGCGGGGAGCGGGGAACGGGGCCGGGCCGGGCGCGGCGGGCCCGGCGCCAACGTGTTGTGTGAGGGGCGGCTGAGCGAGCCGGGGTGGTTCAGCCTCGAGGAGGCTCAGGGGGGGCCTCATCGCTCTGTGCAACCCCCCGACAGGAGGCTGCGGTGAGGTGGGGCCTTGTCTCTCCCGCAGTGAGAAGACCAGGGGAAATGGGCCTTAGGCTGAGGCAGGGGAGATTCAGTGAGATAAAAGAAACTATTTTTTCACTGTTGGGGCGGTCAGGCATTGGAATCGGTTGCCCGGGGAGGTGGTGGAGTCACCGTCCCTCGGAGGTGTTCAAGAAGCGCCTGGATCTGGCGCTGGGTGATGTTCGGTGGTGTAGGGGGTTACAGCGGCAGTGCTGGGCTTGGACTTGACGGCCCTAAAGGTCTCCTGCAGCCGGGGGGTTGGGATGACTGTAACGCTCTCTCCCGCCCAGGGCCGCCGAGCTCGCGTTCGCGCTGGAGCCGCTGCCGCTGAGCGAGCTGCCGCCGCCGCCCGCGCTCACCGAGGTACGGCCGGGGGCGGGCTGCGAGCCCCGGGGAAGGCGCTGCAGCTCCCGCGGGCTGGGCCGCTTAATCCCAAGTCCCGCGGAAAAAAAAACGTGATCCCGATCTCCCAAAGCCCGCGGGCGGGAGGCCGGAACGCGAGGAGCTTCCTTTTCCGTTTCAGTGGGGCGGCAGAGCTGAGTGTGCTTTCCCAGATGAAAGCATTCTCTGCTGCCGTGTCCTGAATGAAGTACTCTGAAAGCAAAATTATTCCTCTTTACTGAGGTAGAAATTTACTTTAATACAAATTATGTTACGCCACTAAACTCGTGCTCCTTAGGACACAAGAGAACCGCGTTGAGTGTCTCTGTCCCCACCTCTGTAGGTGTACGGTAGGACTCGTAGGTGTGTGCCTGTGCTGATAACTTGCACAAGTGTAACGTGTCATAAACGCATGTCAAGGTGTAGTTACCAAGGACATGTTCTTGTGTATATTAGCCAGTTAATGTTCTTTGATATGGAATTCCTGAGCAGGTTTCTTGCTTGTGGTCATTTGTACTTAATGGCCAGTCTTCGCGAGGGAAGATTTGGGAAAGGTCATTAACCCTTCGAGGTTATCCACTTCGAGCCTGCGCAGTGGATTTTTTAGGTGAGACACAGCCCTGAGGTTCATCTGCCGGGGCCGAGCAAGCTTGGACAGTGGCAGTGAGGTCCTCAGAACGTAGGTTTGTTTAGAGTGACCTTCTCTTAGATGGATTGCCACACAGGAGGGCTGATGAGCTCCATCTGCCCGGGGGGCCGGGAATCGAACCCGGGTCGCAGAGGTGAGAGTCCTGCACCCTAACCACTAGACCACCAGAGGCCCCATTTGTACTTATTGGGCAGCTAATTCCTGCCTTCTGGCAGCTTGCCACAATTTGTTTCTGGTATCTCCCTGTGTATTTTAAATGTTCCTAACTAGTCTGTACTTGTTATTTGAAAACTTCAGAATCTGATCATGTGAGGGAGCAGAGGGACTTTTCTGATAGTGCTCAAACCATCTTTGAGGGTGAATAAACTACAGTTTTAGCTTTTGGAGCAGTTTCCTTGATATGTTTGTAACTGTGATTTTCCTAAAGTATGTTGGAGCTTCTCAGGTCTTAAAAGTCCCGTGTGTCCCCGCAGGAGGATGCTCGTGACCTGGATGCCTACACACTGGCCAAGTCTTACTTTGATCTGAAGGAATATGACAGGGCTGCCTACTTTTTACGGGGCTGCAAGAGCCAGAAAGCTTACTTCTTGTACATGTACTCCAGATACCTGGTAAGGGAGAGGAAAAAGTTGTATTTTAGCACTAAACTCCTTTGCTTCTCACCCTTCCCTGGCATACCTTATTTTTTGCCCATTCTGTTCCAAACGGCCACCTTGAAGTCCAAATTCTGTGTTGGGGGAAAGGAAAATAGGACTGTTCTTGGCAGAACTGTAATGTTTGTGAAAACTCAGTTTACGTGCTGCTGCAAGCACTGCAGCAAACATAGGGAATATGCTATTGTAATCTTGAATTTCCTCTATTCCACAGTCAGGGGAAAAGAAGAAGGATGATGAGACAGTGGATAGTTTGGGTAAGTCTCTAGTTTCAAGAAATAAAAGACAATGTAACAAAACTGTCACTATTATCTCTTCATGTAAATCATCTTGGGTTTATGGCTTTCCTCTCAATTTTTTGGATAATAGTATGCTGTAACATGATTTCTTTCATTCTCTTTCCATTCACTGGCTTAATTACAGCTTACAGATTTTCATCTCTTAGGTCTTCTTTTAAAGTAGGTGACCAGACTAAGTGATTTTCTTTAAAATAAGGAAAATATTCACAGGCTGTGAAGCCTTTGTCAGTGATGATTCTGAATGTGCCCCAGACTTTGCAGTTGCTGTGGTGAGACTCCTGATTGAAAGCTTGTTGTGTGACTTGCTCTTCATGCAGGACCTCTGGAAAAAGGACAGGTGAAAAATGAAGCTCTACGAGAACTGAGAGTTGAGCTCAGCAAGAAGCACAAGGCACGGGAACTGGATGGATTTGGCCTTTATCTGTAAGCATCTGCATGCATTTTTTATATATTTGTGTGGATATGCAGAGTTTTATGATTGTGGTTAACCTGATAACTCTTTTTACAGGTATGGTGTTGTGCTGCGGAAGCTGGACCTGGTGAAAGAAGCAATAGATGTGTTTGTTGAAGCTGCTCATGTCTTGCCTTTGCACTGGGGAGCCTGGCTGGAGCTTTGCAACTTGATTACAGATAAAGAGATGGTAAAACTTGAGAGATACCAAGATGTGTTAACAAATTCCAGAGTTTAGCCTGATTAAGTAACCAGTGATTCTGTTGCCACAAGATTGATGTTGCTTTATTCTAAGACTCTATCAGGCAAGGCAATCCAAGACTAAATCATGTTGTTAAAGTCCCTTTTTCTTCAATTGCTTGCCATGCTGTAGCTTGAGAATCCTTATACAGGCAGGGTTAATTTCATACCATTCACCCACAAAGTGGTTTAAGAAATGTCTAATTCATGTATTCTGAAGTAGTTGTCACCAGGGTTATCACCTTGTCCCATGACGGACATCCTCCCAAGACTTCCTTTTTCTAAAGCTGAGACAATAACGTACACAAAGCCACACATATGAGGTGAATGGTATCAAAGAACCAAACTTAGATATACAACCAAAACAGATTACTTTTCTTTCTGCATGGAATTTATGAGTCCACTGCTGGAAGTCTTCAGTAAATTCTGCCTGATGAAGTATTTAAAATATTACAGGTGACACAGAATAGAGCCTCACCGATTTGTGGAAGAAGGGAAATGCATTTTTTATGAAGTCATTTGGAGTCTGTTCACTTAGTTCCTTGAAAATAGTGATATGATACTGATGTTCAAACATAGGAAGAAAGTGCAGTCTTTCGAAGGACTTCTGATTTTAAAGGAGAAATAAGCTTAGTGGCAGAAGCAAGAGCCAGGTGATGTCAGATTTGACAATATCTTCACCAGTTGACCAAATGGTTTCAATTTATCTGCAATTTCAAGAGTCATGGGAGTAGATTGGGAGTAACTAAGTAGAATTACATGGTCCATATTGTACTGCTTTTTTAGACGCCATGTCTTAGTGCTCCTTTGCTGTTTCAATGCTCTCAGTTTATAGGCATTATTTAGTCTGTCCTGCAGAGGAACCTGACATTAATTCTTGGTCCTAATACTGCTCTTTTGTAGCTGGTCTTATGGTTTAAGAAAGCAATTGCAGGAAAACCTCCTACCTCGAGACCATTGCTAAATCATGGGAGGGAAGATAATGGATTCTTTGCCACAGATGGCTCGTAGAATGCTACTGATTGTCATCTCTTCCTCCTCTTCTTTGGTTCTTAATAGTTGAAGTTCCTGTCCTTGCCAGATACATGGATGAAAGAGTTCTTTCTTGCACACATTTATACAGAGCTACAGCTGATAGAGGAGGCCCTGCAGAAGTATCAGAGCCTCATTGATGCAGGATTTTCCAAGAGCACTTACATCATCTCTCAGATTGCAGTTGCCTACCACAATATTCGAGGTCAGTGATACTAACTAGTAGGAATGAGCACCTTAATGCAAACTTGGCATTTATAGTTCTTGGTGTTCCATCTGCTGTTTCTTCTTCAGATATTGACAAAGCCTTATCCATCTTTAATGAGCTAAGGAAACAAGATCCTTACAGGATAGAAAACATGGACACTTTCTCCAACTTGCTCTATGTAAGGGTAAGCACTCTTTCTGTGGCCTGTCCATACTTTTGGTGTTTATCAGAGGTATGTAAAACATTGGCAATGCAGCTGGTGCTGTCTGAATGCAGGCTTCTTGCTTCCCAACTCCATAGAAGAGATGTATGCATTGCTGACTGCCTAGGTTTTCTGAGAAAACCTAGTATGCTCTCTTTCTCATCTCTTTCATTTCTTTGTTTCTCTAGAGCATGAAGCCTGAGCTGAGCTACCTGGCTCATAATCTCTGTGAGATAGACAAGTACCGTGTTGAGACCTGCTGTGTCATCGGTGAGAGCCAGCTCTTTTACAGGTCCTTATTTTGCTGTCTGCAGGCTGTGCAAGGAAACACTTGTGAAAGTCATCAGCCAGCAAGGCTGTCCAAACCACTTGGTGAATGTGGATTCAGGCAGCCCGAGAAGCAGACTAAATGACAGAATACCCTTTTCCCTCATTTCTAACAGTGCAGGAAGGAGACCCATGTACCTGAAAATCTCTTTGTAGTCTTCTGCAATGGAAATAATTGTGTGTCAGCACCAGGAAATTAATTTGTAAGATCATGACATTCCAAGGGGATGGGTTCTTAAATTGGTTGGTACAACTGGAAAAGGATTGACCAGAACACTGGAGAACAAAGTGCTGTTAGGTCTCTTGAGGTTTGAATCTGATCTGCCTTTAGTGGTACTCTTTACTTTTTATAATGTAAGGTAGGAGGTAGTAGATAATACCTACTACAACCTTTTTTCTACTTCTCTGTTGGTATTGGGATTTTTTTTGTTGGTTGGTTGCGGATTTTTAAAATTTATTTAAATATTGTGACTTTTGCTTTAGGAAATTATTATAGCTTGCGTTCCCAGCATGAAAAAGCAGCACTCTATTTCCAAAGGGCCTTGAAACTGAATCCTCGCTATCTGGGAGCCTGGACACTTATGGGACATGAGTATATGGAAATGAAGAATACATCTGCAGCTATCCAGGCTTACAGGTATCACTCATGTACTGCACAAAATGGTGTTTGTGTCTGTAATAGTACCTGCTGTTTTTAGTTAGTGTTTTGCTGAACTTGGTTTTGATCCTGATGGCTTTCTGACTAGTTCATCTCCTTTTCTTTGACAGACACGCAATAGAGGTGAACAAAAGGGACTACAGAGCGTGGTATGGCTTGGGGCAAACCTATGAAATCCTCAAGATGCCATTTTATTGTCTCTACTACTACAGACGGGCCCACCAGCTCAGGTAGAGTTGAGAATGGAGCCGTGTTTATCCGTCTTTGTTCTGACATAGTTGCTACTGGCTAAGGATTTACATACAGGAAGTAAGTTGGGGAAGGAGAAAAAAAATCAGTACTTTGTAATTTGTGCAGTTTGCCGAGCTGCCCCTTGGCCAGTGGTTTCAGTTTTAATGAGGGGGGACACGTATGTATTACTTTGTCCTCTGGATAACTTTGCTCAAACTCTTCCAGTTCCCCAGAGGGGTTCAGGGACTTATCAACATCCACTGGTCTGGGACTTCTTAAATTGATGCCTCATAATTCACAATTTTTTGTTTCTAGTGCCTTTTCAAGCTTTTCCTTTTTCCTTCTCCTCATCTTGGAGAGCTGACCAAAGCAGCAGATTAATTTCCCTTTTCCCCCCCAAACTGCTTCACGCTCAGCAGTTAATTGCAAGCTTTCTTTTTCTAGTTGTTCCTGCAATGCTTTCATTGACTCTTGTAAGATCTTATAATTTCACTTGAAGATTTCTGAATAGTCAACCTCTCCTTTTGTGTTGCTCTAAGGACAACTCCCAAAACAGCACGTACAAGAAGTAGTCCTAATCCAAGGACAGACATCAAGAGGGAATAATCCCCATATAACTCACCCTGGGGTGTTATTCCTTTTGACTCAGTCATTAACCCAGCTCAGGGTAATGTCTTTCTCCCCCTTAACCCTCTGAGGGTCAGCTTGACTCTCTCCTGGAAAAACCTTTCAACAGGTCCAGGCTACACCAGAAAGCCTTTCAACAGGTCTGACGTGCCCAGGTCACACTGAGAGGAGAAAAATTATCACTTTAATTTTATAATGAGGGGACGGTCACCATTTGACTCGTCCTCAGTATCAGTTTTGGACTACACTGATTACTCCACCACATCCAAAGGATCCTGTCCATGATGCCAAAAATGTTGTGACCCGCCCCAGGAAAAGGGTGTGGGGGGGTAACCAGCTTCTTATTAATAAATCCCTTGGGGTGGATGAGAGTGAAAAGCGACACTGAATAATTGGTGTTTGAAAACATATATATGTAGGGTTTACTTTAAAACAGTTTTGTTTCAAAGGTAAACAGGTATGTTGCCATTTTGGGTGTTATCATCCATATCTGCCATCTATAGCAATATGGCATAAAGATAATCTTTAAGGAAAATGCACAAGGGAGAAAAAAGGAAAGAAAGGATAAGGGTGGAAAAATGTATATGGTCACTGCCCACGAGGTCCACCAATGAAATTTGGTAGTTGCAGCTTCCATGTCTGTTAATTGAAGTGATGGCCTTGATCCGTTGGGGCTGGGGGAGGGAAGCCCACACGCTCAAGGAAGCTGTGAGTTATTATATATTTCCAGCTCAGGTGGGAATGCCTTGTACCTCCTGGGGCGGGGAGTTTTTCCATGGATAGTGTCACGGGCCGTGCCACGAGCCTCCAACGTCTCCGCGCAGAGTTCGTGTGAAGGGCGTGGCAAACACGGCTCTTCTCGCCTATCAGGACTCAACCCCTCAGCAGCACTGGCAGGGGGTGGGCCCTGCTGGGTGAGCAGCCACCTCTTCCCAGCCTGCAAAATTCCCCTGGCGATCCTAGAATGTGTAAATCATTAACCATTTCGGTTTTTTGCTCTTTTACAGACCGAACGATTCTCGTATGCTGGTCGCTCTAGGGGAATGCTATGAGAAGCTCAATCAGTTGGTGGAAGCCAAAAAGGTGAGAACTGATATATGTGACTTTAAGGTGTCTCCCAGGACAGTGGGTGGAATCACAGCAAAATTGTGTAGCTAGTGCCACCCAAACTGCACACAGCTAGAATTCATTGCTGTGGTAGGTACAACTGCTGCAATGTAATTAGAGCAGCTGATAAATAAAGAGTTGTCTACAGATACCTGCCCCTTTTGCTGACAAATCCTGTAGTTTTCTGTTGTTGACTTCTGTGCTGGGGTCATTTTTTGGCGTGCTTGACTGACTTTCCTTCCTTGACAGTGCTATTGGAGGGCTTATGCTGTGGGAGATGTGGAGAAAATGGCACTTGTGAAACTTTCCAAGTGAGTATCCACTGTCCCTGAACCATCAGGGTTGTGCTAAATGCAAGTCACACTTTGATACCTAATGATAAAATACTGAATGTAAACAAGTGGAATTGCTGTTAGGTAGTATTACTTTTGGAGCTGTGTAAGAACTGGTGTCTTTAGGTCTGTAGTGACTGCAAATTCTGGTGTCCAGCTTTAGCTTTAAGTTTCCATGAGGATAACTAGAGGGAATGATAGCATAATGTGGGTTGCCAGGCTCCTCTGAATCCTGAGGTGATTTGAGCAGGCAGTGCTAGCAATTGCATTTTTTGTGTTGCAGCTTAAAAGCAATCCATGATGGTAGATGATGTACAAAGTTGTAGCTTGATTGATTTTATTTTTCCTCTCTAGTATATGGCTGTAACACTGGGAAAGGGTCTAATGTGAAATAAATGCGAATCCTGTGACATCAGCACTATTTTTTTTTAGTGGGGATAAAGTAATATAAAATGGGAAAAGTGAAGGGAAAAAAAAGGGCAAGTGGAAGGTGAAGCTGCTGTACAAATCTGGGATGTAGCGGGGAAGAAGGAGCACTGGGGGGAGATAGCATGTAAATAGAATCGCAAAGGTTTGTTAAAAGCTTTAAAATGGAACAAAATAAGCAAAGGTCCCCGCTTTGGTTGTCACTGCTTCTGGCAGTCAGTATTTAACTGCCTCTCTGCCTGCCAGCCTGAATGTTCTCAATCTGGATCATCTCTTTCCACGAGAGGCAGTACATGGTGCATGTCCTGCAAATTCTGAAGGAAAGGACCTGGCTTTAGTCGAGGTCAGGTTGAACAGGTGCTTTCTTGTAGACCAAGAAGGTCTTTAACAGTTCAGTCTTGTTCCAGTGACCCACTTTTCTCCTTTTCTAGGCTGCACGAACAGCTGAATGAATCTGAACAGGCAGCTCAATGCTACATCAAATACATCCAGGATATCTATTCCTGTGGGGTAAGAGGATAACTTGGGAATAAAAGGAGAAGTAAACATGACGTAGAACTGTCTTGGAAGGCACTTACAGAAGGTGTTTTTACCCTCCTCATTGTAGGAGGTAGTGGAGCACCTGGAGGTCAGCACTGCATTCCGTTACCTGGCCCAGTACTACTTCAAGTGTAAGCTCTGGGATGAAGCCTCAGCGTGTGCTCAGAAATGCTGTGCCTTCAATGATGTGAGTAGCTGTGCAGTCTGTGGTGCTTCCTACTTAAGGGATCTATGACCTTGATCTTGGCCCCCCTCAGAGTCCTTTATGAGGGAGTGAGGGCTGTCTGCCATGCAGGTCACATCTTGAGTGGTGGTGTACACCTGATAACTGATGCTGCTCATTATTGATAAAAGTCGTGGAATGTGGTGTAGATAGTGAAATTGAACCCTATCTCACTGGTGTTCACTAAATAAAAGAATTTGAGGCTCCACATGGCAATCCTAAGGCTGCTGAAAATCTTGGTGGTGAGAAGCTAGTTAACTGGTCACAAACTCCCACACACTGTGTAGTGATGGTACTCATAAAACTTCTTTTATCTCATATTCTGTGTGTAGGCAGTGCAGAGGATATAATAATACTTGGTTTTTGTGTGCATCTCTGTATTCTGTGATGTTCTGTAAGTGGGCAGTTTGGGATTTTTAAGCCCAGCCTAGTGGCACACACTAGCCATGAGTGCAGGATGTTTGGCCTGTGCTTAACAAAGCTGCCTGGAGCTCTAGAAAACCTAAATTCAGCTTGTTTGAAGCTTTGCCAATCTACTTTTTGCTGGAATGCTTCAGTTGTTCCAGTCTCTGAAATACCCAAGAAATGTGCCAATCAGGGGAGTAAAAGGAGGAAAGACTAAAACCAAAAAAAGTGACATACCTTAGTGTTTTTAAGGAGCAGAAGAAAAAAGAAATGAGGATGGTTTTTATAGCTTGTAGCCTTACAGAATGACAAACTACTATAACTTACACTGCTTACATACTGAATTTGACCCAGAAACCACTCATTCATATTTGCATTGTTTTGTTTTCTACAAATGAATTTCAGACTAGAGAAGAGGGAAAGGCCCTGCTGCGGCAGATCTTACAGCTTCGCAACCAAGGAGAAACATCATCCACAGATGTTCCTGCTCCCTTATTCCTCCCTGCGTCACTGTCAGCCAACAACACTCCCACACGTCGTGTCTCGCCGCTCAATCTGTCCTCTGTAACGCCATGAACACAAACAGTGCTGATACCTCTGACCTGTGCGTTGGATGTGACACTGCACATGGGACGTGTAACCACTTCTTTCTAGGGAAATTCCTCCTTTGGTTGCTGCCCTCCCATGAAGGGCAGGAGTTAGCAGAGCCCACAGCTGAAGACAGATGTGCCCCAACAGGCAAAGGGGCAGCTGATGTGAAAGTGCCTGTGCTGAGAATGCGAGAACCTGCTCTACTCACCACATCATTCCAGTTAGAGGGCAGATGTGTGCCAGTACACAGGACTAACTGAGGCATTGAAGGGGCTTGTCTGCTGAAGTTAAAGTACATTTGAGGTTTGATTCTGCCCTGTGACCTCTGGTCTTTACTGCATTTCTTTGGATGACCTCTTAGCGATATCACTGCTGTCCTCATCAGAGACTGTTACCAGTTTGGCTACTTAATGGCTTTGGCTTGTGTTGACCAACGTGGGAGATGTTTCACTAAAGCAGTAGAATAGGCACTTGTATAGGTGCCATGTCCATGTTGAAGGACTGACAAGTATCAGAGGAGTCCCAAGTAGCCACAGGTGACAGCTGTCTGGTGTTCTGTCAGTGGACCTGACAGATAATTTTGGCTTTTAGTAGAAAAGCAGCCAGTGGGATGGTACAATTAAAAAACTAACAATAAGTAACTGTCCTTGGGTTTCTTTATGGTGCAGCTTTCATGTGTACTGTAGCAAATAGAATTGGATGAACCACAGTGGATCATTTTGTTGAGGAGGCAAAAAGATAATTATGCCTTTTTTCAGAGTTGGTGTCCTTGTTCACCCCTATAAATTTATTACAGCCTTATCCCTATGGCTGTAGTGTGATTTTAATCCAGGACAAAGCATTTTAAAAGCCCTTTGCCATTTACCCATCGCTTCCTGTGCTTCATGAGACCAGTTGTACAGGTGGAAGCCTGTGGGTCAAAGCCCTGGGCCCTCTCTGATGCATGTGCATGGAGCTGAGGGATCCCGTGTTCTTGGTTCTGGGCATCCCTAGAAATTACTGCTCCATAGCACCCATCAAACCAGGATTTCTAAAGCAGATGGTTTTAAACAGAGCAGCTGGATCTTGGTGTATTTTGGAAGCACTCTCCTAATTATTCCATGCAAACCTGAGGATATGAATGAGACCATTTGTAAAATTATTGTAATTGAGGGCAAATTGTACCTGATGAACTTAGTGGCCTCCTACAATGGGGTTAATGTGTTGGGGCGTAAGGGCAGAGTGACTGATGTCATTTACCTGGACCTGGGCAAAGCACCTGATACTGACCCGCACAGTGTCCTTGGCTCTGTGCTGGAGAGACATGGATTCGATGGGTGGGTATGGAATTAGCGGGATGGTCACATTCCAAGAGTTGTGGCCATCAGCTCACTGTCCAAGGGGAGACCAGTGACGAGGGGCGTCCCTGGGTGGTCGCAAGGCCTGGGGCGAGCTCCGGGCTGGGGCCACGGGGGCTGCGGAGGCTTCGCGTCGCCTTGGCTGTGGCCCGAGGGCTGCGGCCCCTCGGCGGGCGGGGAGCGGCGGGGCCGGGGCGCTCCCGGCCGGTCCGTGCCGCGCTCCCCGCGCAGCTGCGGCGGGGCGGGCGGGGCTGCCGCATCCCCGGCCCGGCAGCGCAGCCTCGGCCGCGGGGCGGCGGCGGGGCGGGCGCCCGCCCTCAGCGCCGGCGCGCAGGAGGCGGCGGGGCCGGTGCGGGCGCTGGAGCCGCCGCGGCGGCGGGAAGATGGATGCGCCGCGCTCGTCCCTCGCCGCTCGGCATCCTCCCCTGGCCGCGGCACGGTGAGCGGCGGCGGTCGAGGAGGGTCGCCCGGTGCCCGCGGCGGCGGAACAATGACCGGGCGGCTGCGGGGGGCCGGGGCCGGGGCGGCGGCGCGGCGGGGGGAGAGGCAGCGATGGAGGTGATGGAGAGGAGGGGAGGGGAGCGGGAGCCGGCGCTGGTGATGGAGAGGCGATGGCGGGAGAGGCGTGGCAGGCGCAGCCCGCAGCCGCCCGCCGGCCCCGCACCATTGTGCGCCCGCCGGTCATTGTCCGCACGGTGCGGGCGCGGCGCGCTGGGCGCGGCGGCTGCTGCAGGGAAGGGAAGCGAAGGGAAGGGATGCTCCGGGGCCGGGGGCGATCGGCGGAGCCCGGGATGCTGCGGGGCCGGTCGGGCTGGGCCTCGTCGGGGCAGCCCGAGCGGAGCGGGGCCGGCGCGGCCCTGCGGGCGCTCCCCGCGCTCTTTCACACTCGCGGGGCGTCTGTGGCCGCCCCGGCGCTCGCACGGCCGTGCACAAGGCTCCCTGCCCAGCGGGATGCTCGGAATGGCACCTGTGCGTGTCCTGGGCTGTCAGGGCTGCCGTGTGCGTGTGAAGACATTCTGTTCTCCCTTGCAACCACGGACCCCGCAGGATGCATCTCTTTGTACGTGCAGTGCCTTTTTCACAGCCACTGATGGATGAAACCTGCCTCTTGGGCTGGTGTGCAATTTATGCTGAAATTACCGGATTGCCATCCCTCAGTTTCATTATGGCTACTCAGGTCAGATCCAGATCCTGCATTTTTCCTACGTTATGGCACTGAATACTCATTTGTAGACTGGGAATGCAAATATATAAAAGGTGCTGATCATACCTTATAGGTTGGAAACATAGAGAATTACATATTTTAGAAGTTTAATTTCAACTCTTGTAAGGAAAAAAATGAACTACGTGTATTATTTAAAACATTTGCATTCTGATGCTGTCCAGTGCATCACTGTAAGGTGACACGTTGGACTCCCATTCTCAATGTCTCTGATTTGCTGGGTCAGATTCTGCAGTAGTGCAGATATCATGCCTGGTCTAGCCATCTGGGTAGCCCATCAGGAGAATGTATTGTCCCTTTTCAGACAGTAATGTGGGATTTATTGCGTCTGCTCTGACTCAGGTTTTGTTTCTATTGATCTGGCCTGCTGGTCTGCACAGGAATTTCAGACCCAGGCCTGCTGTGCTGTAAATGCTGCCTCTGCTGGCACTTGACCCGGTTCAGATGGGTGCTTCGGTGAGGCAAATACCCAGTGATTCTAAGAGGTTCTCCAGGAATGGCCACACTTTTGGTGAAATCTGGGAGTGGTGAGATGGTCATTGTTGAAGAGGGCACAGGACACAAGTGCTCTATCAGTAGTTCTGTGTCAATCAAAAGACACCATGGGTGCCTCGATACAAGAAGGACATCAAACTATTAGAGTGTGTCCAGAGCAGGGCAACCAAGATGGTGAAAGGTCTTGAGGACAAGGCTTAGGAGGAGCAGCTGAGGTCACTTGCTTTGTTCAGCTTGGAGAAGAGAAGGGTGAGGGGTGACCCCATCACAGCTTCCTCAGGGGGGTCAGAGGGGGAGGTGCTGGTCTCCTCTTTCTGGAGACCAGCCATGGGACACAAGGAAATGGAATGAAGCTGCATCAGGGGAGGTTCAGACTGGACAGTAGGAAAAGCTGATTCACTGAGGGTGGTTGGGCAGTGGAACAAACTCCCCAGGGAAGTGGTCAGGGCACTAAACCTGTCAGAGTTCAAGGAGTGTCTGGTTGATGCTTTTAGTCATGTGGTTAGTGTTAGGTGGTCCTGTGAGGAGCAGGGAGTTGGACTCAGTGATCCTCATGGGTGTCTTCCAACTTGAGATGCTCTGTGATTCTAATCAAGTTATGGGACTGCAGCCACTTCCACCTTTGCTTCCACAGGCAGCAAAATCCCAAGGAGAAACCTCAGGGAGGAAAGGTTGGCAAGTTTTTGCTGAGATTTCCATAGGAGTTGCCTGGTGGAGGTGGCTGCCAGGAGCTATTGATGGATTGCCCCTTTGGCTTTGTCCCTTTCCCAGAACTGTGGCAGTAGGGTGGGCTTGCTGGGATTCCCTGGTTGTCAGCAGAACTCCCAACAGAAAGGAGTAGGCTACCAGTGACAGATGCTGCAACCTTTCTGACTTTCTGCTCTCAAACTGTTCTGGTAGTGCCTAAGGTAGAGAAACATGTCCCTTGCCTTGGATATTAGTTTGAGCCAGGTATTTCCAGTGTCCTCCCCAAGCCCCACTTCAGGCTCTGTGATTTTGCCTCAGCCTCCCTTCCCAGAACCTTGTCCCTGTCACCTTTCAGTGCCTTCTGCTAATCCCTCTGCTTTCAGGGGCCATTCCCAGCTAAATAATCTTCTGAATAACAACTTCTGTGTCCTGCTCATTATGAATTGAAAATAAGGTACAGCTAAAACATGGTTGTGTTTTGAGGAGGTGATTGGCTGTTGTTATTTGTAAATGTATGCTGGGTTCTGGTAGACCTTTTATTACCAAGACTTTAATGTATCTGGAAAGATGCTGCATAATTTCTCTTCCATTACAAAGGATAAGTGACCTCAGGGTATTCAAGTCAGGAAAATGCTGTGAAATGTAACTGGTAGAACAATGCCCAGAATAATTTTCAATTTTAATTCCTATTCATTCATTTGATAGTTGATATTGCAGTTTAGAAAGTTATAAAAATAGTCCTCCAACTGTTAGAAAGGTATGGTGGTGGATTCTACTGTCATAAGGCTGATGTAACTCAGGTGTAGCTTGAGCAGTTGAAATCCAAATAGTTTGTTAATTATAACTTCTGTTTTTTCCCCCCTCTTCTTTTTAACCAAACTATGTGAGCCTGAAGATGCTTTCACTACTGAGCCATGGTAATTTTTAATTGTGCCCAGTATTTGTGCTTTCTATTGGCTTTTTGAAGTCACAAGGCAGCAAAATAGTCCTTACCAGAGACCCAAATTTTGAATCACTTTCCAGTGATTTCGTATCTTCTGGGTTCTGTCAGATTTCTCTTTAATCTTTGTGCATGGCAACGCAATGTTTGCACTACAAGCCTGCAAAACAAATATTTTTGTTTTAAAAACGCAGTTATTTTGTTTTATATTTATGTTTATAGCTTTTACTTGAATTTACAATTACACGTTTGCATTATGTGTTTCTAAATCAATAGCTTACTTAAATTCCAGGCAGGCAACATTTTCAAAGTTCCTCTGTAAATCTATATCCCTTGAAGATCTGGTCTTTACCAGATTATAACAAATTTATCTTCCCATCTTCAGAGATGGACTCTCTGCTGCCTTCTCTTTCTAGGTCTGTGCAAAGCACCTGTGCAGTTCTCTGTCATCAGCTCTCAGTGTCCAGAATCCGTGAGGGCAGAAAAATGTAATTTTGGTAGTACTTCTAGGTTTTAAAGTTTAAGGGCTATTTCAATTTCTCCTTTAAAATACGAGGACTAGAAATCTTTGCTCCAGGAGGTGGGGCTCTAAATAGAAAATTCGACAGCATGCTGGGAAGAACCATGAGAAGGCTCTTGTGGTGCGGCCACACTGAACGCTGTCAGGTCAAATGTGTAAATACAGCTCCTTGGAAATGACAGAAGAACAGTGTGGATCACAGTCTACAGTTTGGATTCCAAAGCATCCAATGAACTTTAAAGGAGAAATGATACATGCAAGCATTTTCAGGAACATGGGCTTTTAGTTCTTCTCACTGGAACTGGTGGTGCTGTTTGCTTTGGTGGCCGTGCATTTGGATCACTGGTGGGTTGCTGAGAAACTATCACACGTCCTGGAAACTTTAGGATCTGTGTTTTCTCTGGAAGATGATGTTTGGACATCACAGTTCCCTGTGCTGAACAGTCTGCACCACCAATTGTCAGAAGGGGAGCTGTCAGGAGTGAACTGATGTCTGTGACCGTCCCCACGGCAGCTTTGCACAAGAAAGATGCACAGAAATACAGCACACGTTTTAGTACAGAGCTGCACAGTGAAACCTTGTTAGTTAACAGCTTAACAAGTACCAACAAATAAGGAATACAAAGGAAGACCAGATAGACTGCAGTTGCTCTTCTAACTTTGGTTGAAATGTACTCAGATGGATAACAAAGCAAACTGGTGTACCTGAGAAAATTGTTAGGACAGAAGAGTTGGTAGGGTATGCCAGACCTTCTTTTATGTTGGAAATGATAATGCAAAATATAACAGCATTTCAGATTACTTAGTAAAAAATAATAAAATTAATTATTTGAATTAATTGAGAACAGCTGATGCTCAAATGCACATTGTCTCCCACTTTGTTCATTCCTTCCATCTCCACCCAGGAGGTAATAGCTTCACACCTGTACTCCATTTCTCAAGATATTTGTTGATGTTTGTTGAAATTTTTTTGTTGTAATATTCTTTTAAGTGTTTAGGGGAAAGACTTGTTAAACCTCACATTGCATGGACTGTAAACAAAAGGTCTAAGTAACATGGAAACTAAAACTGAAAAGAGAAGAAACAGCTGTTGAAAATTGCTTTGAGGTCCCAGGTGGTTTAGGGCAATCAGTAATGAGCGAGCAAATAAAGTTGGGAGAAATGGTGGAGTGAGGGCTTCTGCATTTGTTTTTTTCTGCATGTGCACTGGTTTGCTAAAATTCACTCAATTGTTTTTTTTAATGGGTGGAAAAATACTTTTAGTTTTTAATTTCTACAGTTTAAGCCAAATCCTTAGAACTCTTAAATGTTACAGGTGATAGAAATTAATTAGAACCGATACTGTACTGTTTTGTGTGCATTTGGGGTAAGCCTGGTGTACAAAAAATTTTAAAAAGACTTAAAATTATATTAATACATAATATACACTTAGGTTTTCGTGAACATTAATGTGATTTTTGTTTTGAACTTCTGTGATTTGTAGGTAAGTCCTTGAGCGTTTTTTTCACTGTATTTATTTGTACTTGATGTTTAAGGTCCTGCAAGCTGCTCTGTTCCATCTCTGTGTGTTAGTGA